TGTTGTAATCTTGCCATTGAAATATATCAAACTGATATTTTTCAAGAGCAATATTATTATTAGTTGATGATGAATTGATACGATAAGATGATTTCATATTGATGTCTGTATGTTGTTGATTATTACCAAATAACGATAATCTAGGATAACATCCTTTTGAACATGAATCATTTCCAGTTTTTATAAATGCACAATAGAAACTTTCTACAATCGAAAAAAGAAAGGAAATTTCAGGAAAATATTACTGCGCACAGCCAGAAAATCAATAATGATGTGAGATGTTCACTAAATTTATTTGACTGACATGAAGACGATACATAAAAATTATCTTCAAATAATCTAGTATCTCTTATAATCATAGATCATATTCACATTTCGATTTTTTACTATAATTCTATTGACTTCGATATTGTCTTCTAGAGCTATAGGGCACATTCACTCAACCGGAACTCGTAAGAATAAGAAATTAGTTTATTTCAGAAAGAGCTACTATATTATCCTTTATTTTTAATTTTCTAAATACGGTTGGAGAAAAAACCTTGAGATTCAGTTAATGGTTCAGTAACGTTCACCATAGTAGAAGTAGTTGTAGATAATAGGAGAGAATGCTCCGAAGTCACATCACAATAAAAATGAGTACCTAAACATAAGAATCGATAGATAAATCTTTTTTTTAATGGAAAACTAACCATCTATAATAAAAATATTATTAAATCTCCATTCTTTAAATTTAGAATTTGTATTTGCATGAAATTCGACTTGAAATATTTTGCCAACATCATTATTAGATAAGAGTAAAAAGAGATCAGTTTGATTATGTTTAAAAGCTTTATGATACGACTACAATTATAGAGAACTTAATAAAACCGAATTAATCATAACTATTATTTATACTTGTGATTTTCCTAATGATATTTTTTCTGTTTGTCCATTAATACCTTTGATAATAACAGTAATGTTTTCTTCTGGATCACCATGAAGTGTTTTTAAGATAAGTAAATAATTCTTTATTATCGATTGATTTCCATACATATTAATCGATGAGGAAAAAACAAGAAAAACTTTTACAAAAATTATAAAAATAAAATAATAGCGCCAATTAGTTTCTTTTTTTCTTTTCAAATTGCGGAAGTTTTACATATAAAATATCTGCATGCAAGTCCTTGTTGTGTTACAGATAAATCAGATCGTTTTTTCCATAGTTGTTAGAGTATACTCGAACATCCTATTTAAATTTCGAGCTGACAGGCAGATAGGTATCCTCGTTCAAATAAGGATACTGATATTTTCAAGTGTTATTCTCATTTTTTAATAAGATTATTGAAATACAATACTAATATGTAAGGCTTATTTCATTTTATCGTCTATAAGAAAATTACTAAAATGCTAAAAATTTTTCGAGTAATACAACTACATAATATTTTGAAAAGTTAAATTATGTCAAGACAAGATTAGAAAAAGAATATTTATCGATGTTCAGCATACGGATATTATCCTTTGTACGATTATCAAATAAAAGTTTTACTTCAAAATGATGAGATGCTCTATCTATTGATAAATTTTATTTTTATCTCAGCCATCTTCGTTTCATAGAAAATTGGATTTCTATCAGGGGTTTCAGACAACGTTCAAAAATGTGTCCCACCCCCTTTTGAATCTACTGTGAAGCCAATAGCCATTTTAAGTCAAATTGTTTTACATAAAAAGATTTATCAGCTTGGACACTATCGATTGCTGAAAATCACAATTTACTAGCTTTTTCCTTTTTTGAATAATTTATATTTTAGTGGCGTTCATTGGCGTGTGACCGATAATTTGTCCCACCCCCTTTTGCCTATCTTTTGACCAAACTGCAAAGAGTTAAGAGCTGATTTTTTTTTACCACAAATGTCTATTGGCGGGCACAACTTATTTTGCAAAATCAAGTCTCTAGCTCATTCTCGAAGAAAATAATTAAAAAAATACAGTCAAATGTCCCACCCCCTTATTTTGTCCCACCCGCTTTTGTCTATCCCCTGATCAAACGACAAAGAGTTAAGAGCTGATGTTTTTACCAAAAATGTCAATTAGTGGGCACAACTTATGTTGCAAATGTCAAGACTCTAGTTTATTTCTAACGATAGAAATTTAAAAATACAGAAATATGCATTTTCCCTTGTTTGTCCCACCTCCCTTTGCCTATCTTTTGGCCAAACTGCAAAGAGTTAAGAGCTGATTTTTTTACCACAAATGTCAATTGGTGGGCACAACTTGTGTTCTAAATATCAAGACTCTAGCTAATTTCTAAAGAAATTAATTTGAAAAACACAGTGAGAGATCCCATTCTCTACTTTGTACCGTCTTCCTACCCGACTGAAAAATCTGAAAAAATTTTCTCCGAAATTCATCATTTTTGTGCTTTCTCTGGATACGCCACTAGAAAGGAAATGTTTTGAAACCTATACGATCATGTTAATTCCAGGATGTCATCTATTTTTTACTTGAAAATTGTAAAAAATCCCTTCATGAGTTTTTGGAAATCTTTTGATCTCTAAATCCGACGAAAAAAAAATTGATAGTTTGTACAACCACTTTGTCTTATACTTCGAAGTATCCTCTATCAACTGATAATACTTTTAAGTGCACCCGTTTACTTTTTCTTTCGATCATTTTTTTCAAAAAACAACGGTACAATAGACACTAGAATCACTCATATATCTCTTCAAAGGTTTCGAAAATTTCTATCATTTTCTTAAAAGAAACCCCATCCTGAATGGGCTAAAGTTAACGCGTATAAATAACAGCTACCTGTACCCATCGATCATTTGAAAAATAAACAGCTGATCAAAATGAATCAAATAGTAAAGATAGACTAAATCTTGTATGTCTTTGTAAAGAATTTCTGATGCAATATTTTGATAAAAGAATTATTCCAATTAAGAGAATAATAATGGAGAAATTTTTAAAAAGTTAACGGCGTAATTCTCTATCAACCACTTATGATATGTTGAAGTAAGTAATCTTACTTTAGTAAAAACAGGAGACGTAGATATTCGCAAAAAGTGATTATTTTCTAATGCGTCCCCTTGCAGTTATGTTGCATCGGCCATGCAAACGTATATACCATAAAGAAAATTTGATGATCTGTTCATAGTATTATACCATATAATACATACATTATAGGTGAACTGTTTCAACAAATCAACCGCTCACAGAAGCACAATACGAAATATATTGGCTCGGTCGAAAAACATTTTACCATTCAGTGTACAAAAAACGAACAACTTTTCATTTGTGCTTTGATTGAAAGCAGGCATGTGAGAGTGTGAAGGTGACTTCATTTTTGAACTTTCCTCACAAAACAACAAGTAACGATGAAATTTGTTGAACGTACCATGTATAAAAATAAAGACGTCGTGGATGTTTTGTTTGTTATGACAAATGATCCAAGTAAAGTTTCAGTTTTGACAACTCCATTCACTCTCATGCATGAATATAGTGCCGTGAAAAGCGAAAAGGAAGTTCTCTTTTCAATGCACACTGTGTTTCAAGTCGATGAAATTAAACAGACGCTCAACAATAGTCGTCTGCGGGAAGTACAATAAGCTCTCACAGATGACATTAGTCCACTCTATAATTCTATAATATTTTATCATTCTTTATTTACTAGAATAATATTAGAACTTCGATCATAGATGTTCATCTCTAATTTTTTTGGAAAAGGAAAACTTTTGCTTCTGTATTTAAGTCCGTACTGCACTATATTTTATCTTCGGGTAGTCAGACTCCAACTATTAGAATAGTTGACAAACGATATGAATAGTTTCGTGAAGGTTGAAGCGATGTTGAAGATGGAAGACAAGTCCTCATGTCTGTCATCAAATAACATCCATCCATCTTTTTATTAATGACTATCATCATATTACAATTAACGAATATCAAGCGTAGACTAATCTGACTAACGGCGCCATCAGATGAATATTCTTTGATCATTGTAAACTTAAAAAGACTATGACTCGCTAAGTATCGTAGCAGTTGATGTTGTGCGTAATCATGAAAGATATTGTCTGATTTATAGATCTGGTAGGTTGTTTTTTGTCTTCAACGTCTTTTTGACCTTCACGAAATTATTCATATTACGTTTTTACTGTTCTAAGAGATGGAGCTTGACTGCCAAAAACAAACTATATGTTATCATGAATAATTCTATTTTAACACATCCAGTATTTACGACAATGAATAAAATTTGTCATAATAAACCGAGATATAATCTTTAAAACTCTTGTCGAAAAAAAATTTCTTTTCATAGATTTATTCGAAAGTGCTCATCACACATCTATCTATTCATTTTGTTGTTTTTGTTTCGATCTTTTTGACCATACACTTGTGCAAAAGAAAGCAGATAAGAATTTGAAGAAAAAAAAAGAAAAAAGAAAACAAAGACATAAGACAAACAATAAAGAAAAAACTAAATATGCTATTTAAGACAATGAGTAAAGAGTGAAAAAAATATAGAGCTTAAGACTTATGAATTTGTTTTTTAAAAGTGTACGTATATTCAGCACTATATTTATATATATATATGTTGTACCAAAAAAAGAAAAGAGATTTTCTCCAAATGTCATCATCAGAGAAAAGAAGAAAACAGCCACATTCACATTCACATACACATTCATGAGTACTAACAAGTCCGTATATACACAAGAGTAATGATATAAACAACGGCAAAAGACAAAAAACAAAAACAAAAATATTGACCCACTGTGTGACGATAGAAATAGGAGAGAAAAACAAAAAATAAATAAATAATGTACGACAACACGTTAAACGTGATGTAGACTGAAGCTAAGTTGTCGAGAGAGAAAAAAGGAGAAAATGAAATTGAATCGAACTCATAGAGACGAAAAATATTCGTATGACGGATCTAGCCTAGAAGACATCAGTTTTCTTTCTACAAAAAGAAAACATCACGCGGGCAAAAAATATTCTGTTACACAAACGAAAAGCAAAAGTGAATTATTTTATCCTTTAACTTTCTGTCCACCAGGCGAATTAAATGATCCATTAGATGTTCCATTGGATTCTCGACAGCCACTTTGTATAGGTATTGGAGCAGCTGCTCTTGCCGGTTCAATACTTGTATTATTATTATTATTACTATACTCATCGATTGTACGAAAACAATCACGACAAACACGTACAGGATCTTTTAAATTTAATGATGGAATTAATTTGTAATTATTAGTGCAATTATTGCAAAATATATTTCCACATTCTAAAATATAAATCTTTTATTCAGCAAAAAAAACATATCATATTTAATTAACATAAACCTTCTAAAGAAATCTCTTCTACCCTAGACAATATAATTACATATTCAATATACTTTAGCTAATGGCTCAGTTTTTGATTTAAAAAGAAATTCTTCTAGCTCTTTATAACCTTTTGACAACGGACTTATTTTTATAACGAATAAAGTAAAAACCAATTGTTAACAACATATACACTGAAAATTATTGACGATCATAATGCTTGCACTTAGACATGATTTAAAGATGCAATGCTGTTATCAATGGCATCTATGTCAGAACACAACAAATATTGAAAAGGTGTGTTTTACTATATTTCGGCTTCATTGTCAAAGGGTTATGGGTTTAGTAAAATGGCCAAGTTTCTGTTATCTCAGAGAGAAGTATCTTGTTCCAAAGTAGAAAAACCTACAGAATAAGTCATAGAGCTCTTGTTCTATCGTTCTATATAAAAAAAATTTGCTTTAACAGTTTTTCTTTGGAAAAAAGTATGCATATTTTCTCAACTATGGTTTTTCTAAAATTTGTCTGACACATATACTCAATTGGTATAAAGATGCATAAATCCTTCAGGAGTGTAGTTGACATCTATTCGACTGCCTCTTCCAATTCTGAACGATTCTCTGCCTAACAATACTGCAAAATGTTCGAATAAGAATTTCAAAAGGATTTCGATTGCTATTGATATTTGACTGAATTATCAAAAACTCGTATTAATTAGAGTAGCTTCCTTAAAAAAAGTTTCAGAACTTTTGAACAAAGTCTCTTCGAGATACGAGATTTTCAAGATATAGATTTTTTTCCATGGATGGTATGTACAACATGCATTTCTTGAAAGCTTCATATATTGAAGCGACTTTGTTCAAGACTTTGTAATTGTTTTAATGAAAACTGCTCTAGTTGAATTCTTTGTAGGGACAAAATTTCAGATCAAAATTTGATAGGAACTCAATTCCTTTTAGTTTTTATTGAAATACTATCTTGTATCTATAGGCAGAAAATAATTTCAATCGGAAAGAAACAGTTCAAGAGTTTCTTTTTTGAGATACAGATTTTCTGCATTATTTTGTCTCAAAAGTACACCAACAGAAAAATAAGAGCATATCTGGAATCAGTACGGAAAACTAGATCGAATGATATGACATTTGTTAATTTTTAGAATAAAAATTTTTTGTCGACAGAAGTTTAGGAAGTGAAAGAGTTTCTTTCATGCATATTCCATCGAAAATATCCTTTCACAAATTTCATCCATGAACTTTGTTGTTGAGTACTGGAAATTTATGCCTCTGAACAAACATGCGTTTTTAATAGAAAATAAGCCGTGCCCACGTGTTCTATAAAAATTATCCATTATGTATTAATATACATATCTTAATAAAATGACTGATTACCAACTTTCTTTGATACTATTAATTAGCAAAATTTATTTCAAAATATTCTTGTCAGTTTACTTTGAGTGCTTTTAAATATGCAAAAGACATTTACGTACGTTCATTCAATCAAAAAATAGTTCTCTACAAAAGAAAAAAAAACACTTTCAACACAGTTTAAATATAAAATGTGATAAAACAATTTTCTTGCACAATAAAATTAACAATATTTTAGAAGTCTAAAATGCTTTTCATCACACTTATTATGTTGCATTGTGTCTCTGTCCTAGATAGATATATTGACTAAAATCTGATCGAACATTCTTGCTATGAAATAATTCTTTTCTGTAATAATAAGAAGAAAGCAAAAAGTTGTCGCAAACATCAGCCAAAATTCCACGACAAACAATATTTTTTAATGAAGAGTATCCTTCCTTTAGTGACCAAATAGTTTTTGCTAGCCATTGTAAGTTTGAAGTAGTAGAGTCGATATCCCTAAAGCGAACGGACATCTTGGAGGTCTCCATTGTAATTCTGATATTTCTGTCATTTTTCATCATAAAATAATTATTTTTATATAAGGGGAATGAAAACAAGNGTATGCACATAAAGCGAACGTTTCTAATTTTTGATTTTCTACCGCTCACTACTCAACTATTCTTACAGTTTCAAAACATTTCTTTATATGAGCAGATGCAGAATTTTGTTTTCATTCCCGTGATATAAAAATAATTATTTTATGATGAAAAATGACAGAAATATCAGAATTACAATGGAGACCTCCAAGATGTCCGTTCGCTTTAGGGATATCGACTCTATCTATCTACTATATACATTGTGGAGTTCAAAAATCGTCTTTAAATGTTACAAAATCAAATTTACACAACGAAAATAACAAATTGCGTTTTTCTCAAATTAGCTTTTTCATGAAAAAAAAGAGTGCAGGAACGTCTCTGTTTCTCCAATGTAATGTCAGTTTCAAAAAAAAAAGGTACATAAATATTTTTTTCAATAACTTTTAACAGAAACAAGATAGATCACTGCGATTTTCACCATTGGAAAGAGGAGATGAAGTCATATCGAATCATACATGATAGGTTCTTCTAATATATTTTCCAAAGTTTTTTTAATCGAATCTATGAAAAAAGATCGTCGGTAAAATAGTTTCTTTAAACAAAAAAAAAAAGCAAATGTGCAATTTTTTTCACAGCTATTGTTTGAAAAATTCGTTAAAAACTTTAATTGGAATACTGATGAGTTCTGAATAATTCAAATCTCAAAATTTGAGGCTTCCGTGTTTTTCTAGATCATCCATTGGCGGTCCGAATGCACACCTGATAATTGAAAATTCACTATAGTCATCTTACGAGTTACGTTACTTTTCAAAAAAAATCGACTCCAATCCTTTAAAGAATTAGGTCGATAAAACTTCTAATGTATGATTCAGTGCGTCTTTACCTTCTCTTTCTCAAGATGAAAACCGCAGCTCTCTATCTTGCTTCTATCAAAAGTTATTTAAAAAAGTTTTACTTGTCCTCTTTCAAAATGGGTAATAGTATGTGCTATCGAACTGAAAACTGTTTTTCACATATGCTATACACTGCTTGCGATGCGAATTTTTTTTTTAACAAAATATTATTCTGCTGATTCTTGGTAGCTCTATTCAAGGAAACAAAACATGTGTTCTTTTAGGATGATAGCTTCGATATTTCGGCTTTTTTCATTCGAAGGACAAAGAATAAAAAGATACCTATTACGAACAGTGTCTAGTGCTTGGAGAAGTACTCTTAAAGATTCTTGAAAAATTAACTTTTCTTTCTCTACTTACTTCGGCAGTGATGTTTACGTGAAATTGGCCATTGTTGAAATTTCACATGACATGAATGACATGTTTGAGCAGTGAAATCTGGTAACCAACGTGTTACACTAGCATCTGAATTATCGATTTTTTGCCATGATGAACATGATAGTGTTTCAATGGAATTTATATTACTTTGTGATATAGCATCCAGACGTGGTGATATATTCTAAATAGAGAATAATATTTAAACATTGTTTTTTGAAAATATTTCTATTTACTTGATTATGATTAATATTAATTAATGTATATACAAATTTTTGCATTTGTCGTTCATGTTCACGAAGACTTTCAATTTTCTGTTGATAAGTTCGTTCTTTTTCTAGCATTCTTGATGTAATTTGATCAGGAACTTTCGTTAAACCATCTGTATCAATACGTTTTCGTATTAATTTTATTATTTTATTTGATGTTAAATGTTGCATCTAAAAAATAAATTTCAATTTTTGTTTTTCTTTAATAAAAAAAAATTGTTTCTTTTGCAAACAAACCATTCTTTGTGTTTGATTTGGATCATATGAATTTATTTTGGTTAATGACCATGCATCAGATAAACTTGATGTTGTACTTGATGTTGAATTTGTATGTTTACGTGGACGTGACATTGTTCGTAATATATTATCAACACCATAAAGATTTAATGAAAAACGTTGAAATGATAATGCTAATTGTGTTATATCAGATGATGAATCATCAGCTGTCAAATTTTGTTGTTTTATTCGATTATCAGGACTATTACTTATTGGTAATGATATTTGATTTGTATTTGAATTAAATGTTACATTATGATGACTATCATTTAATGTTCCAAGATGATGTGGTGGACCAAATAAACTATTTGTTGATGTTGAATTTAATGAACGATTACACTGTGATTGAATTTGATGTGATAACGAATTATTATTTGAACGTATTGGTATTGATGATGATTCTAAAGGTAATGAATCACTGAAACTTGGATCTGATGTTGAACGATGTATATGATTTGTCATAGCTGTAGATAAATCTTCATAAGAACGAATACGAGTTGGGATTGTTTTTGAAGCATGTTCAGATGAACCTATTGGAGTATAACGAATATCACGTAAATATAAATTTGACCATATAGTTAAATCACGAACAGAAGATGATGGATAAAGAATCTATCGAAAATGAAAAAATTATTTTTTTTTTTCTTGTAAGGTATTACTGATGCAAAAATCGAGCAAAAATTAGATTTCATTGAATTATATATATGAGTAGATAGAGAGGTCACAAGGCTGATTACAGATATGTAGTTTTTTTAATTTTTTAAACAAGAAATTTTATAAAGAAACAAAAAGTTAGCTATTTCTCTTGAAAATTAAATCTTGTAAAACAAGCCAAATCGAACTGTGTTGATCGAGTTTCATCAAACTCATATAGATACCACAGTTTTGTATGCTGAATTCGAATAAAACAGTTTCAGCGAAGGATAGTCTATGTAAGTTAGAATATTCGTTGATTTTCAAGAGAAATGGCTAATTTTTATTTTTGTTGCAATGTTTTGTTTCTTTCTAAATTTCTTATCTTAAAACACGGCCTAACAAGTTAAAAACCATGTATTATATATATATATATATCTACAGTCAACATTGTAAGCTCTATCCACTCATGTATAATTCAACAAAATTAAATTTTTGCTCTACTTTTGCATTAGCGGTACCATATAGCAAAATGTATTTACTTCTTTTTTTGCTTTATTATATGAATGATTAATAAATTGTTTTGAATTGCTATTTAATAAACTCCATACACTTGATGTTCGATTTTCTAAATTAGTTGTTTTGCGTTCAAAATCTGTATTACATAAAAATGTTCCATATAAACAAGTATATGTATGATTCGCTAATTTCAACTAAAAAAAAATATAATTAAAAAATAATATTTTTTTAAGAATGATGTAAATTGAAATCTTACAAGAAACATTTCATTAAATTCAAACACAGTTGGATTTTGACTATATAATTGATAAATACAATCAAGCCATTGAAGAAAAACAGGACTACGTTCATTAAGATCATTTACTCCGTTGCCATGTCCACAACGATCAGCAAATTTATGACCAAATGCAATCCATTCACGTTGTACTAATGCTTGAAAGCCTTCTATTGTACGATAATATGCATCAAGCATTATTTCAGCTAATGTTGTTATTTGTGGCGTACGATCCCAACCATCTGAACAATGTATAAGCACGGGTCGAGCATGATTATTAACAGTAGCAACAACAAATGATGCTGCACTTATTAATGAAGATAAATTATGTAACCATCTCGACGATTCTAATTGTGAAAGCCAACTAAAATAAACAAATAAACGAAGTTAATCGAAACGAAAAATTCAAGATCTACTGCTAATATGAAAATAAAATAAAAGCCGAATTTTCTTTTTTTTGATTCACACATTTGAAACAATAATCGATTTACTTAATCCACAATTAATCGAAACAGTTATCACTCGAAAAAGTAAATAAAAGAAGAAGCTATGTAAGAATGTAAGAATCTTATTGCTAAAGTAAACATATTTTGAAGTCTATAAGAGGTCGTATTGGCTGATTTTTGAACGTTCTAGGCTGAGAAAAATATTTCGGAAGGGAGAAGTGATTACTCCCCCCCCCCGCCCTCCTCTTCGAAATTTACCATTAAAGGAAGCTACGAAAAGTTATAGACACTTATACAAATCAAATTCATGAAATGATAAAATATAAGTAAAAAACAAGAAAATATAGACATTGAAATTTAACATGATTCAAAAGAAATCTGATCTTTCAAGAACATCATATCAAAACTAACTTCTGAATTTGCTATTAGTTTGATTGGTTGTAGAAAGGCTAAAAGTAAAAATATTAAAAAAAAAAGTGATTTCTCTATGGTGGGTGTGAGTGTAGGTGAAAAGAAGACTCGAACCCATACCCCCATCTCTCACATGCAGAAACACACCCCCTTCTGTCAAAAATGAAGAATGTCTTGTTATTTGATATGTTTTCTTTCTATAGCACAGTGTGAGTTTTTATCATTTGTTAAAAAAAAAACTTAAAATTAAAATTCCTATCTTACTTTTCTCCTTGTCCTGCATTAGCAACAGCAACTCTTAACATTTGTGCACTTTTTCGAATAACATGAATATTAGGTAAATTCATAAATTGTACATCACAATCAGAATAATATGGTGGATGTTCAAAACCACCACCTTTAGCACGATTTGCAAGTGCTGCTGTATAACTTCGTGCATCAAGGATTAATAAACGATTTGAATTTATTTCCTGAGTAGTAGATTCTTGTGTTGTTTTACAAGCATTCATTATAGCTTGAATCATTTTCTCATCTTCTTTTGAACGCCAAAAAAGCCATCCAACTTCAGGTTGACTTGTTCGTGCAATAACTGCACCATTATTATGTCTAATATAAGAAAAGAAAAAAAAGAAATAATAATATTATTATAATAAAGAAAATAATTTACCTCCAAACAATAGTTGGAAAACGTTTATATGATCGAAATTTTGCTACTTCATGAACTTCTTCATCAGTTATACTTGCTGGTACGACACAAATATTTGGATAACTTGGAGATAATTTATAATCATGATTTATTTCTGTTATACGCCATGGATAACAATCTAATTGTAAACGTATAAATTCTTGACGAATATAATCACGTTTTATATCATTATCTTGTTGAGATTTATTTAATGCATATTTAATAGCAAATAAATCATCTAAACATATTAATGTTGTTAGAGATTCATTTAATTTTTTTAACCAATAACAACATTTATCTGTTGTTGTAAACATTAAACGAAATGAACGTATATCTTTACATTGTATATATAAATAAATATTATCTTTTATTTCAATTGTTTCAATTAAACGTATTGGATAGTTAATAAATGAACAATGTGATGATAATTGATTGGAAAATATAAATAAACGATATGTTGTTAAATAAATATAACCATCATTTAAATCCATACCATGATCAATTAATTCTTCGCCAGATAAAAATTCGAATGGAAATTCATTCAGATTATTTGTTTGATCAATAGGTAAATCAGTTGTATTTGATAATATAGGGGCTGAATCAATAACAGAATTTGATAATTCACATACATTAATATCTTCTTCTTCGACAATTGTCACCGGTGATGGAACTCCGACAACCATTGATAGAAAAATATTTGTTGTTTTTTGTCGTTAAAAAACTGATTCAAATAATCATCTAAAGAAAAAACAAAAATGAATTTCATATAAGAAGTGGTCGGAAGATAAACAATTTGATGATAGTAATGTTTTACTAATGATTCATGCGCTTTTTTTTTTCTGTTTCTTTTTTTTTCTTTTTCTTCTGTTGACCTACTTCATATACAAAATAAAATTAGTCGGAGGGTATAGTTTTATTTTTGTTTTTTTTTTCGTTATAAGTTTCTGTTTCTAAGAAAGAAAATTAATTTTAAAAGTGGTTGAGCGGGATATAACTAAATTTGAAGGAAATTGTTTAATAAATGATTCGTTTGAATTTATTTATGTTTAACTTATCCAATTGATAATGGGCAACAAAGCAAGAAAAAAAAGAATTCTGAATAATACTGTTTATTTACAAAGAATTTTATTCTTTATCTATTTATTATTATTTTCATCTTTTTTTAAATTGCATATCGAACGACATCTATTACTTATCAGTCATTTGACAATCAATTAACAGAGATTTTATACAGAACAGCGAGAAAAGGGAAGGATTGGATTAGACTATGCGTATCTATATTCATTGAATCAAACGAAATGAATCGATTCGAAACCATTGGAATGATAATAAGATAGGATGAAAAAATATGTAAGAAGCACAATAAATAAAATAACATTAAAAATTGTCGTCTAATTCATCCAGCTACCGACCAGGTTTAAAACCATACGTGGTTGCCTGATGCCAGAACAAGAAAAATTTAACAGTGGTTAATTTATTGTGGTTGTTCGGTAATGTGTATGGAAAAAATTTCTAGGTTAATACAGAGAAATTAATAGTTTTTCAATGCTAATTCGAAGACTAATGAGAAACTTCTATTAAAATTAATTATTAAGATAGTCGTCTTTTTTAAAGTAATAAATTTATATTCTTCAGTAAAAAGATATCGTCATTCATTAAAGAATTTACTCATTAAGTAATGTATTTAAAAATTTTAGTGATTGCTAAGTATCCGTTTTTCTTCACTTGAAAACTAAACTCATCCTCGAACACTTCTTCATAAATTAATTTCTTACAAAATTGATACTTTAATTAGTATATTTACATTAAAATATGCCTATTTTTCAGGTTGTGTGAGTTAAACAATCTTACAAGACTGAGGTCGATATTATCTCTTTTGAAATCGTTTTGGTTTTTTGAAAAGCTCTTTTTATTAAAAATTATGGAAAAAAATGAGATACTGAAGAAGACCTAGAGTCTTATATCACATGGAGGAGTTTATTATATATTCGAGAAAGAACATTGAGAACTTAAGATCAGTTAACAAAAAATTCTTTTTTATAATATTGAACAAAAAGATTAATGATTCAATTACCACTATAAAAAGGTAATCTGGGTTGAGTTGTAAAATATTTTATGTCAATCCAACAGGCAACCAAATAGATATGTATGACACAGTAATATAAATACAAGCACTACCATGTCAACACATATGTAAATAACATGCTGAGCTGATATCAGTCTATTTGCATTGCATAAAAATAACAGAAAAAAAAAACACGTTATTTTGCTATAGAATATACTCTATGATATAACGAAAATCTAACCATTTTCTAATACATGATGAAACTGAAGCGAGATCTATTATTCGTTGTAAAGCATTGTTCTGGAATATGTTGAATAATTGTAGTAGATCGAGCATTTCTATAGCTAATGATCGTTTTATAAAATCCAACAGAATAATATTGATTTGATTTTCATTCAATTCCGTTGAAATACATTAAAAAAATGATTCATTCTAGAAAAGCATATAAAATAAATCATTGAAGACTAGAATTTAAAAAAAATATAATGAGATTCTTTTTGATACAAAAATAAAAATCGTTTTTATTTATGAATCTAACAATTTCTTTGTATATTATTTCATACAACTTTAGATGAAAAAAGTGAACAAAATTCTTCTCTAGATTTCTAGTGACAAAATTCATTAAAATATACCAATAAATCTCTCTATCAGCTCCTAATATTTTATAAAAACAGTGAAGGAATATCTGCTTTCACGAGGCAACCCTTCCGGCTGATAATCTTTGTTTCGGCTCATATTTTCCTCATAGGTAGAACTCGTAGTGTAGATGAAAACTTTGAAAGAGTTCAGATTACTGGACCTCTCTTATCGAGTCATAATCATTGTACTGAACTTTCCGCATGTTCTAGGTTATCACAAGAAAAATTGAAAGAAGGAGTTTTGTCCTGAAATTCTTCCAAATAATAGTTCTCATCGTTCTTATGATATTCTAAAGGTTTCAACTGAAATGGATGATTTCTGCTTACGACATCGTATGTCTCAAAGCTGCACTATTTTTGGAGCTTTTACGTAAAAATAATGTGTGTTTGCAAACGTGTTATCTCAGAATATAAACATCCGTTTGAACTGAAACCTTCAGCATATCATACGAACAAATACTGAGAAGAATTTTTCCGGATGAAACTACTTGGTGCAATTTTTCTCGTGATATCCAACAACAGACTACAAGTTCAGTAAAATGACCATAAGTTGAGAAGAAAGATATAATAATACGAAACCTATCAGAATTTTTATCTACACTATTAGTTCTACCTATGAGGAAAATATGAACTCTCACAGAAATTATCAATTGAATGAGTTTCCTCGTCAGTTAAAGCTATTTCAAAAATTGACTTATTTCTTGATCTATAAAAATATACGATAAAATCAAGAAAAAGATGATTTTTTGGTAAATATAATAAGCTGAATAGTAATCATCTAGTTCTATTCAAATCTTTATACTAAAATCAAAATTCCGTTGAAGTTATTTTATTTAGAAGAGAAATATGAAATAATAAAAAATTTTATAGTAGATTTAAGTGATATTGCTAAAGAATATTTGCATTGACATTGAAGTCCTTATCTATACATTGCTGTCTCATGTTACTGGACATTTTCATTCGAAATGAAGCACACGGAGTGCAACATAACCCATAATATGACTTTGGTTTATGTGGAAAAAAAAACAAAAGCAATACAGAATTAGTGATAACCATGGCATAAATCAGAACTGAATATAGGACAACTTTTTCTGTTTTGTTCTGCAGAACGATAAGAATCCTTATTTTGACTTTCGATCGTCGAAGTTCATATTAGCTTTTTAGTTATCTAATAGTTAATTTCTTTCTTGTCATTTTCAAATACAACAAGAAAAATTTTCAATAATGACTAATATTATAAATACAGGAAAATATTTTAACATTTTGATTAATTATTTTAACAACATGGTCATCAGAAGAAACAAATATCAACAAAAACTATGAACTTTATGGGGTGTTATCATCATTATCTTAACACATAGTGGATATTATTAATAAAAACAAATAGAACAATGAAACCGTACTTGATAACACAAATATTACAAAGAATAAGAAAATAGACTAAAACAATGATGCACACAGGACATAAATTATATATTTCTTCTGTCCTTTGCCCTGCTCTGACATAATTATATGTTTAATTACTTTGCTTGATCAACCGTTTACTATTAAGAGTGATAATCAACATATTTTTCTTTATTTTGCTATTTTAAATTATTGTAATCAAAGATTAAATTTCGTTTTTTCTCTTCCTATTTCCAAGAAGCAATATCAATCATAAATTGCAGGAATAATAGAAATCAAATTCTATCGTTAATTTTTATCAAATTTAAAAATAAAAAAAACCTTGCACCAGCTGTCTGACCGATTAGCCAATATAGTTTTATATCTTGCATCATGAAGAAAAAGAAAACGACACCTTCTGATCTATTTATTAAGAAAACAGCTGCCTATTATATTCCATCTTAGTGATATGTTCGAGGCTTGCAGTTGTTTTCCTTTAAACAACAAAAAAAGCAAAGGGTGAAGAGTCTGTACTAAGGACAAAAATAGAAAAGAACAGAAAAGAACAGAAAAGAAAAAATATATTCTATTCGAAGCGAGTAACATCAATGTATTTCAAGCTATCTATGATACAAACGGCACGTGTGTGTGTGATTGTTTACCAGTAGATAGAGTGGATATATCCCGTTTATTTGATTGTACTTCTTTTACAAAAGCAAAAAGCTATTTTTTTCATATAACGGTAGTTGAAAGTTTAATTTGACAAAATGAAGTTGGAAGATGCAAAATATGTATCTATGCTTGTTCTACTTGCATCTAATTTAATCATGATACTTATTGCTATATGTTTACAACGATTTTTACTTCATCGTAATGGAAATTTTCTTTCCATGACTCAACATATCATTTCTTGTCTAACAAGTGGTATCTTCTTAGGTAGATTGATCATGTTTTTTTTGTGTCTATTTTATTTTATTTTATTTTATACCGTTTATTAAAAATTAGGTACTCTTTTAATGATAGTTCTTCCAAATTCTCTTGAGCTTGTTGCTCATCAATGGCATATTGTTAATATGGGTTATTTATTAATTGGTCTTGGTTTTTTTCTTATATGTATCATTCAAGAATTAACAAATCTGTTTGAATTAAAGCTATTAAATAAACAAAATAAAATTGAACATGAACAATTAATTGATTCATCAACGACACCACGTCATGATCATCAATTGGGACGTCTGGTTACACTTGTTTTTGCTCTTGGTATTCATTATTTTTTTAGTATGTAATCAAATCGTCTTTTTTTTTCTTTTTTGTAAACACACATGAATTTGTTTTAGACGGGATTCTGATTGGTGGACAAACAAAAGACATAACAACATTATGGCTTTTATTAGGTGCTATCTGTTTTCATATGTCTTTAGTTGCATTTTCGGTAACACTTCGTCTATTAATTGACAATGAAAATTATATTCGAGTATTTTGTGCTATGTCTATTTGGACTTTAATGGGACCGGTTGGTGTATTTGTAAGTTTATTAATTAGTTCCGATTCATCTGGATTAAATTTAGTAAATGGAATTTTACAATGTTTAAGTGCAGGAGTATTTATTTATATAACATTTATTGATATGATTTATGATGATTTGATTAAAAGAAAATCTTATCCATTTGCTAATATAATTTTGATTTTTGGTGGATTTTTNCCTAGATTGACGAAAAATCATTAAATTCAAAATTCAACACTAGATTCATAATCAATTAGGAAGCCTAATTAGGCTATGCATGATTAGGAGTTTCAAAGAAAAACTTATAGAACTTCCGACTCACACTCTTATTGATTTAAGGCTTCATTAATTCATGATGTACATCAACATCAAAAAAACCATTCAACGAAAGATCATTTTTGATTAATTTAATAAGCTTTTCTAACTTTAGATACTTCATTTGAAATGCAATTGATCATTCGTAAAAGCTATAGATTTCTGTTTCATACGAATTTATTATGTCACTATGTCGAGCAATGTCGGTTTTCGATATTATCAAGTATTCAAGACAGATTTGTATTGCTGTGTTATCACTAAATAGTCTGTACATACATCAGATTGAAAGTTTTTTAAAACAGAAGTCAAAATTTAATATAATTTACTACACCATTTTTTACAAGAAGTCCAAGGATGCTTTTGGATTTTATTTTTTGGATCATGTTTTAGTGAAATGAATGATTAAAAACAGCTCGATGAAATTGTGTGAAAACAATCAGTTTTCGAAGGATTTTTAGCATTTAATTGCTTAAATTAATTCTAGTCTATTTTCGTGAAAAACGAAAGCATTTCAAAAAAGCTTTATTTACTAAAATGCTTTGAATTAATAGTTGCACATTAGAAACACTGAAGATTGTATAAAAAATTGGTGATCATTGTTGGACGAATCATTTTGAAATATGAAATGCTTTTATAAAATTAACCTAAAAAAATGAATCGATAATATCAACTTCAACATTTAATGTATTTCAGAATGCCTTTTCAAGATGATTGAATTCTAACTTTGAATTGAAAGTAGATCATTTTTGAAAATGATTGTGATTTGATGTTCAAAAGGCTTGAATGTTTTTCAAAAACAAAACATAATAGTAACAGAAAATACTTAGAATATATATTGTCAATTTAATTTCATTGTGTAGGTCAATAAAACCAGAAATTAACTATGGATCGTCACATATTTTGATCATTTCATGTTGTAAACTTCGCAATAAATCCGATAAATAGAATGCATCAAGAGTGCATGATCCATATGTAACAAGGAAAATATGTCTTAACTTCTTTAAAAAACAGAAGTTCACTATATCCTAGTTGAACACAAAACAAACAGTATAAGATATCGGTTGGATCACCTCATTGTTTCTCACTATTCATTTATAGCTCTGTTTATATGCTTAATTTCTTTTATAATATATGTTTTCTAACAACGAACAAATCAATTTCTTTCACAATCTGAAGTGTGTATGTATATTTACCACTTGCAGATAGCCGCCTGACAACCGTGAAATAGGAATTAGGCATATAACCACATCAATGTGTTAGATTTCTTTCCGTTATGGATTTATATGCAGCTCATAAAAAGAAAAAATTTTATTTTTTTTGAACTTGACAGAAATATGGACGAATTCTTGACTAAAAAATGAAATACCTTACAAAGGTGAACGTTTATCGAACTTGATAATAAAAAAATTAATGTGAGACGATAGAATATATTGGTTTTTATAACACTCATAAAATCTGAACCATCCATCTCTTATAACTAAAAGATTTCTATTTTAGAATTAGATGTTTACTTCATGTGTTTTGTCAAAATAATTAAGATATATCTTCTTTCACTTTTGAATTGTGTAGAAGTTTCTATGATGAAGTCATTCAACAAAATCATATCGATACATGTCTAATAAGAGTTTCTAATTTCTTTAAAGCTCGGTAATTTCTCAGTTAAAATTTTTTATTAACTGTAACTATTCGTATTCATACCAGGATTCATTAAGTAGTGGCGACAGATGAGTATATGGATGTGAATAGTACTGTAAAACATTCATTATTTTGTATACTTAATGACATAGAGGCAGAACTGACAGTTAGTCTGTTATCTCGCAGAAACTATTGAAGATATTCTGAAGCTGACCATACAATTTGAAAATTTCCGTTCATCAATTGTTAAACACTTCTATATTTGTAAGCATAGCTCATCACAAAATAGTTTGATGCAATAGACGTACACTGAGCTGTTGTTCTGTGAGAATTTTAATTACATTTTAAAAGAGCATTCTATTTCCAACTGATCTTGTTTTTGGATCTATTTACAAATAATCGTATTCAAAAGTAATGAGATCACAATAAACTCTTTTTTCTGATGATTATGATAAAATTCTTGTGAAACAAATTAAGAATAGTTTGATTAGCAAGGAAGTAAAAAGTATCCTTGTTTCTAAATAAAATTTTTAAACAAGTAACGCAACCTGACTTCACGAAGTGCATTCTTCTTCTCAACATACGAGTCACGGTTCAAGTCAGGCACTTGTTCTCAGCTCTTCAGTATCATTTTCAGTTGAAAAAAAAAGTTCGGCTAGATCGTGATAATGCAACGAGTGCACATCTGAAACCCGTTTTTCGAAATTCAGCGGCGTTCAGAGGATATTAAAATGCGGAAAATGATAATTAACAGCTGATAGTTTCCTTATATGGTCATAGATGATTCAGTCTTGAAACGACCATTCATATCTCAGATGATATATGCATATGTACATTAATCATTTATGGTCTTGAATGACTTAAACTCATCTATGACGGAGTCTGGAGAATTCAAGAAAATCTGATTGTGGCTTATATAGAGAAGGTACAACGAGCAACAATGAACAGCTGAGAGTTTTCATACATGGCAATAATTGATTCAGATTCATTATCTCTCTCTAGTCAACTGAACTTAGCTAGTTGAAGGTGATTGAAATTCATTACGATTTCCTCTACATGAATGTAAGATTTAGAAAGAGCAGATGTCGTATAGAATCATACTGCGATATTTTTCGGTCTCTGCAGTCAGTCGAATTTTCTAGCCGGTTTTGAATTGAATAGAGATCTAATCCATATATACTTTAGAAATTTCGAGACTCATGTGAATATACATGTTTTCGTATTTGTTATCATTATTCAAATAGAACTTGCGTACTCTACGTTATAAAGTTCTTTTACGTTTTTATTCTGTGAAAAAAGGTCGCATTAAGGTTTTTTTTTCATAATAAAAGAAAAGGAAGATAAAGAAAAAAACAACCTAGACGAAATAAATAAATATGCATGTCTTTCATAACTTCTTTTGCACTTTTCTTTTGAAACAACAACAAGTAGAATAGAAAAGATGGGCACGAGTTTTACAGCTTTTCGAGCGATGTTTTATCTACTTTTACCATCTGAAACATATTATGAACGACTTGAAGATGTTCCAGATTATGTAGTCAAAGTAAATGAATTAAAAAAAACAATTTTGTTTTTTGAAAAATTTGTCAACTATTTTAGGTTATTCAACTTTTTTTTCTTTTACAAACATTAGAACTAGTTATTGCTATATATCGAGGAAAGGCAATACCACGTTTTAATGATACATTTAGTTCAGTAACAGCTGGTGTTATGTCGCGTATACCTCGGTATGAAAAAAAAATATATATCGTTAGATATTCTTTTTTTTTCTATTAATAAAGACTATTTCTTCGATCAATTGAATTATCAACATATATATGGGTATATGAAAATGTTCGTATTTTTCCACGATTACCATGGAATTCACCAATAACATATTGGGTTGCATTTCTTGGAGTAGATCTTGGTTATTATTGGTTTCATCGTATGGCACATGGTAAATTAATAAATATTTCTTGTCTTTTATGAAATTTTTATTTAGAGGTTAATCTTTTTTGGGCTTCACATCAAACACATCATTCATCGGAAGATTACAATTTATCAACAGCACTTCGGCAAGGTGTTATGCAAACATATGCTTCATGGATATTTTATTTGCCACTAGCTTTATTTGTTCCACCTCCAATATTTTTAATTCATGCACAAATGAATTTATTGTATCAATTTTGGATTCATACTGAAGTCGTTTCAAATCTTGGTCCGTTTGAATACATACTAAATACACCAAGTCATCATCGTGTTCATCATGGAAGAAATCCATATTGTATTGATAAAAATTATGCTGGAGTTTTTATTATATGGGATCGGTTATTTGGTACATTTGCTGCTGAACGTAAAGATGAAAAAATTGCTTATGGTCTTATACATTCAATAAAAACATTTGATCCATTAGAAACACAAGTAATTTAAAAATTTATTTAATAAGAATATAGTTGTACTTTTCTATTTTAATAGTTTTGTCATCTTAAATATATGTTTAAACAATTTTTAATAAATAAAGGATGGCAAAATAAATTATCTGTTATTTGGAAAGGTCCAGGATGGCAACCAAATTTACCTCGATTAGGTAGTAATAAGTTTCCGCCAGTCAAATATCCTATTTGCGTTTATCATCCAAATGTATCAACAGCATTATCATTGTATACATTTATACATTTTGCGTATGTTTTAATTCAATACAGTGCGGTACTTAAATATTCAAAAGTAAATTAAATATTAACATGTTTTGACATTTATTTATTGTTATTTTGTTTTTTTTGCTTTAGAATTATTCGATTTTCGCATTATTTCTTTATTCAATTATTTTACTTTACACGTTACAAACATTTGGTGCTATTTTTGATCAAAAGTAAATTATTTTTCTTCGTTTATTTTGATTAATTGTTTCTTTTTTTCTTTCTTATAGAAAAAATGCCCTTCATCTCGAACGGACTCGACTTATTTTAATGTTAATTCTACCTAGATTAACTTTAATCAAATCACTTTTCCTTCTTCAAACACATCTAATAATTCAAGTAGCCATTGTTTTGTCTTTTTTTGCTACATTTTTCGTTACACAGGTTGCTCCTTCAGAAAAAAATGTTTCTCTGAAAAAAGAATAATGATTGATATTTTTGTATCATATGAAATTTATTGTTAAAAGAAAATGATTTGACAAATAAATCTAAATCATATTTTCATTATTAAAACAAATAATTAAGATTTTTATATAACTTACTTAATTCAACAAGAGTTTTGAAATAATTAAATTAATCAATAATAACAAAGATAATGAGCAAAAAAAATGAGCTGAAAAAAAAATTTATTATGTCATCTTGTAATATATTAAAAAATACAATCACAAGAAAGAAAAAAGATAAAATTGCGGCATTAGTTTTATGAGTATACAAAGAACGCTAAAATAATTTCCAAGCGGAACATCATATTTGAATAATACAATCATTTAACAACGTGAAACTAGTTTATCAAGGTCACCAGAAACAGTTTTTCGTCGTTAAAACTCGCGTCGACAGGAAAATTATCGACAAGATAGATCATCGAATTTCTATTCATGATCTATATTCCAACGATTATCTTCTTTTGTTTTTTGCTTGTTGAATATGTACCGTATAGAGAGGCAGCTACTGTACGTATTATCTTAGCATATCGCCGAAGTGTTGATTATTGAATTTTGGTGAAATGACTTTTGGCGAAGTGTCTACTGACTTTTCTTACATAGATAATAATCACTAGTGTTGTGTTTTGCGTAACGATAGAAGGTAACTTTTTGCTAGATGTTGCATACCGAAGATATGTATATATATATTAAAGCTTACTAAATTTTATTGAAATTAAATAAATTTAACTCCTTCAATGTTCATTTCTTTTGAAAAATAAATGAATGGCTATATTAATATAATCGAATAATGTTCAAATCAAAATATATATTATCAAAATAATCGTTCAAAACTTGATATGAATGCTTTCTTGGTTATTCATTGTTCTATATTCATCAACAGACATAGATAGAAATAGAAATTATAAAAAAATCTTTATATTTTTTTACATCATTAGAATAGGTGTATGAATTGATCAGAAGAATGTCTCTTTGTTTTTTTTTGGTATTCTATGAATCTATTAATTATTATAAACTAATACATATAAAAAATAATATTAATTTTGCACTCATTGATATTCGTGTTACAAATATCAATATACAATCTCTTATATTATTTTTTTGTATTTCGGATACTGGTGCTGAGCAATGGTGTGTGACGGTTTATATTTGCAACGTCATAAAGAGCAAGCAAAAAAAAACACTTTTTTATTTATTAATAGAAATTTGCATATTTATTTGTATAGCCGTATTACCTTATGCCCATGATAGAAAAAAAAACTGTTCACATTGTATAAGAAAAGTCTTATGAAATAATTTCTATAACATAGGAATTCATCCTATTCGATTTATATGCATTCAATATTCATAACGGCAGATTAAATTGATGGATGAACAATTTGATTTTCGAGCTTTATTACTTAAACTTCAAGATTATTTATCAGATAATGATCGACGACGTCTTCATTTTATTGTTGGTGATACTATACCAAGACATTTACGTGATGATCCAACACTTGGTGGTACACTTAGTCTTCTTGAATGTCTTTTTGATCAAGCAAAAATTAGTGAACAAGATTTTGATTATTTAATTTGTGCATTCAATGAAATACATTGTTATGAAGGTGTCAAACGACTTCAAGGTATCTTTATTTATTTTTATTTATTTTAACATATCAATTTTAGAATATCAACGAAGACAACAAGGTCATACTCGAAATGAATCTAACGTTTCAAAAACTAGAGATTATAATGAAGAGAATACAATCAATGAGACCCGTATATTCATAGAAATGTTATTAGTAATTTTCAAGTGGATATAGATATTTTAGAAGATTTCTCAACATTTACATCGATTGATATTTCTGAACAACGTGAATCAACATTAACTCAATCTATACCAATATCATTTAATAAAGAGGATAGTAGTTTAGACAGCGTACAAATATCAATGAATGCTATCAAATCTGAGAAAAAAATGTAAACATTGATTTAGCATTTATTAAACAAATATCGAAGTCACGACTAACAATATGTCAAATTATACTTTTTATTTTAAATATTTTGGGTATTTTAATTTTTGTAATAGTAATTACTTTTCTAAGGAAACGAGATTGTACTATGAAACAAATCGACGCTGACAGTAAGTAATTACATGATTTTATTGATCGATCATCTATCGCTTTTCTTTAGATGTGTTTATAATTAGAGAAGGTATGCTATGTGGAGAAAGACTCGGCGGTAATGAATTTGATGATGCAGTTACTAATTCATTGACTTTAAATGATAAATTAATTGGTATTACTGTAACATGGTCTTTTGATACACTTAATTCAATTATATTTATATACTCAAATGGTAAAAAATCACAACATGGTATTGGTGATGCCGTACGAATTTCATTATATTCTAGTGAATTTAATTTAATGACTGAAGAAAGTTTTACTGGTGTTACTAATTATTTAAGGAGACTTACGTAATATAATTAACCCATATAAACCAAATGGCACTGTGATCATTGTTGGTTTACGTTTTTCGACAAATAAAAGCCGCCAAAGTAAATTGTTTGGTTCATCGAATGGTACGGAAAATGATGAATCATTTCCTGCTTATATATTAGCGTATGTTCGAGGTCGATCTTATGCCTTCATTGATGCATTTCAATTTATTTGGTATAAACAATTGACACAAATCAAAACAGCAATGATAGAGAAAACTTAAATTGGTTTATTTTATCTATAAAGAAAAATTTTAGTGATTTATTTGTTTAAAATTTTTTTCTAATAAACAATTCATTTTATAATAGATTAGGCGTATTTCTATGGAAAAATTGTTAGCGTCATTCCTATAAGATTAAAATTTGAAACATGCTGATAGCTTCTGGTATTGTCAGCGAGGGGGACTAAAAAATGTATATTTCGGTTTATGAATAAATGCATATCAATGATGACAGATATGAATGACAATACACAGTAATGAGTGTGAAAGAAAAGTAAAAGACAAGTGTCATACTAATCTCGCAGACGATTTCGATCTGGCGGTGATGTCTATTACGGTGTATGATGGGTCGTTGCTAAGGCGTTTGTCACATCTATGAATCGAACGGGGGGGGGGGGGGGGCGACGAAGGGAGACTTGCCCTCTTTCTGTTCACACCCT